ACAATATGGACGTTGCGCCAAACGTGGCATTGGTCGACAACAAAGATTACGTTCTTGTCTGTTCTTAAACACTAATGATGATGTTAGTCACATAAGAATGAAATGAAGCATGAAATCATATTCCAGTGAGCGGAATCCCGCGTGCGCTGCTAGAAAGAGAATAAATATCGTGGATCAATGGCCAAGTTAAGGAAGCGACAACTTGATTTTGTTTTGATGTTTAATATGCATCCGCACAAGGAGAAGGCACATCGTAATGTTCCGCAAGGATTACAAAGTTTCGGTCTCATATAAAATCCCGTCATTTCGTCATGCACACAATACACAACACTATATGTGAAAATTTAGGACCAGATGATGATAATGTTGATCACAAATTAAACTTGATTTGAAATAACTGACGAAAAAAATAATAAAAGAAATTTGTACACTATATATGTAAATATATGGACGAGACAAAGTGATACTGGAAATTTGTAAAATATCAAGTTTATTTGTACCCAATATATGTATATCAATTTACTGATGTTCTCGATCAGTCATGTGTTAGTTCAAACTGTCAATAAAACGACATTGCTGTCGGTAAAAAGGATAATAGGTAAACAAACGTTATTGTCATATTTGCTACATTTTTCTGAGATATTATATACTAGTTGTAAAAAAGGTATAAACTTCATCATTATTTTCCCAATCCAGAGATCGCGAATAAAACCACAGGTTAAGATCGAACTCAGTTGAAGAATTATAGAATATAAAATATCGTTTGATCTCAAAAAGAAGTCTTAAATACATAAAATTACCAATGAAATCTTAGTGTCGGGTTAACCGAATAAAAACGTGCTTTCTTTGCATCTATGCACAACTTATGTCTGTACAGATTGAAATAGTAGTAGAAATGATTTATTTTCTCCTTTAAGTAATACCCGAGTCTGTTATAATTCTGACAACATTTTTGTAGACGATCCATACTCTATAGTAACGAAAGACTGTAGAATTGCTTCAAACTCTTGAAATACATATGTATATCGAGTTTCAGTATTTAAAGAAACCGGTTTATGATTTCGCACTTTTAAAGATTCAACATAAGGATATATATATATACATATATTTTGGGAATACCTTTCACCTTTTTGTAAGAAACATGACATGAAATCATGATTGCTGTTATTGTTTATTTTCATTTATATTGTATTTTTTGGATCGTAATACTATTTTGAAAAAAATTAATGAAATGTTCGATATTCTTAAGTGAAATTAATAACGAAGCGAGTTTTCACAGCTTTTCTTCGCGCAATATTTCTAGTAAAAATCGATATGCGATATCATTGACATAAACATTAAAACCACTTTATATGTGTTTATCGATATTTCGATTTCGGAACAGGCGTCGTAGTTCTAAGTCTAGTTGGGTTGCCATGTCCTCGAGCCAAGACATATAACAATACCGACTTGTTAGCGGGGGATGTCCCAATCATGATTTTCACTCAAGAAATTCCACGGACATCATTATATACTCATTCTTAATACCACAGCGTTGCGATAAAACGGGAGATTACTATAGAAATAATCAAACATTGATAACTGATGTTAAAGTTAAAAGGAATCAAAGAGAATGAATTTGAATTGAAGGCGGAGCGGTCTCCCGGAAAACCACGTGATTTAGCTGATACAGACAAAATAGAAGAATCTTTCACTAAATATCATAATATTTCTTCGGGCAAGTCACCATGTCAATGAATATTTAAAACTAGATTTTGACTTAATTGAAAACAGCCCAAGGGAAGGTCACCATGACTGTAGAGATACCTTCCATATTCGCATGTTCATTGATCCGGATTCTACGACGCTATGACGTCAAAATCACGTTCCGTACGTGGCGTAATTTGATGGGCTTGGTGGCATGATCTCATGATAGCAGCCACACGCACTGATCGGATGATTAACGTGTGAAATTGTTGATGTTTTTTACTTTATGTAAAGTATAAAAACTGATTAAATCTAATATTCCTTATATTGACGATGATTTAATGTGAATCTATCGATAACAAACGTTGAAGCGATAAACCATTACATTTGTTACACAGGTTTTTTTTGTTTTTATTTTCTCTATATAGATTGAATGATATGTGAAAAAAAACTAAACAAAAGAAGAAAAAAAAAGAAAGAAAAGAAAAGCAATCCACTCTTTTTTTCATAAAAAAACTTCTTTCATAAAAAAACATTTTATTACAAATGACTCCATGTAAATTTGGTACATTTTCCGCAAAAACTAGAAATAATTTTTTCCGTATCTTTGATTTTGATATCGTAGTGGCGATATCATATATACCGCGTGGTGCTGAGAAGATGCATACCTATATCAAGTGTTCAGTGTCACTATCATTTCCTACTTTTTATTACAATAATATACACATTTAGGTTTTGATTAAATGTTTCCTTTTTCTCTGTGACAATTTACTTTCTGTCCTGTATGGATAGGAACAGAACTAAATAATAAACTTTCACGAATAGATCTTTATTAGTTATTGATTCTGAAGTGAGCACTTTAGCTATATATTTTTAGAACGATATGGTAGGAAAATGTTATGATCTGCTGTAACTATTAGGTTATATATAGTTGATTGACATTGACGGTGCGTGTAAAGATGGCGGAAATATAGCATGTTATGTACTGTGTTAAGATGATTAAAAAGTACGAGCAGTACACTTCAGTTTCTCTTGACATACGGTATGGCAAAAGGGAGACAACTCAGGTAAATGAACAAAGCATTGGACGATACGGAATATTTCCCCTTTTCCTTCTACTAGGTAGCATCATTACATCGGCTCAGGATACTTCTCCTTCGATTTCTTTTGTTGTACTTCCAATCATAAACCTATATTATCATTTCTAACAAGCAAACTGACCAGTACTAGATTTTTTATGTTATTGCAAACGGATTCAGGTGAGGAACGTGTCCTGGTCTATGGTAGCAGTAAACAGTTAATTTGCATTTTTCCTGAAATTATTTGTCATGTTTGAGATATACAGGTATAGCAGATTGGTTATGGAAAATACATCATTACATGTATATATATTTATAAACTATATAACAATTACATTAACAGTAGAGAGATGAAATTTGTGTAAAAAAAAATTTCCTCTGATTTCTGACATTTGATTGTCATGGTTACCTACTGAAAAAATGCTAAAAATGCAAAAATACTACTAATTCCAACCCAACACTACAACTTTCTAGGAGAAATTTAATTCTAAACACCTATCTTACAATCAACAACACTGTCATGGTAACAAAGTACTTACATTTCAGCAAATTCCAACTCGGAAATTCTTCATAACATGACCACATGTGAACACTATGAAAATTTCACTTCCTGTAAAGCTAGTTTTTGGTGCGTAGACACAGATTCGAGACTGCCCAAATAGTAATCTCCAACACAAAGCTAAAATATTATCCTGAAAAAAATGAAACCCCACATTGTCCACTTTAACATGACAGGACCAATTTTAGCAAGGATTTTTTTTTTTCATTTTTAATTAAAACCTTTATAATGGGGTAATCTAATGAGCAAAAAAATCACACCATGGCCACACCGAGAAACTGTGTACTGCTACCAGATACAGACAATGATGAACCTCTCCTAGTTTATTGGGACATGATACAGACAGATGATGAACCTGTCCTGGTCTGTAGGGACATGATACAGACAGATGATGAACCTGTCCTGGTCTATAGGGACCTCATACAGACAATGATAAACCTGTCCTAGTTTATTGGGACATGATACAGACATATGATGAACCTGTCCTGGTCTGTAGGGACATGATACAGACAGATGATGAATCTGTTCGGGTCTATAAGTACCTGATACTGACAGATGGTGAATCTGCCCGGTGTTATAGGGACCTGAAACAGTCAGATGATGAACCTGTCCTGGTTTTTAGGAACCTGATACAGAGAGATGATGAACCTGTCCTGGTCTGCAGGGACATGATACAGTCAGATGATCAAACTGTCCTTGTCTGTATGGACATGACACAGACAGATGATGAACCTGTCCTGGTCTGTAGGGGCATGATACAGACAGATGATGAACCTGTCCTGGTCTGTACGGACATGATACAGACAGATGATGAACCTGTCCTGGTCTGTAGGGACATGATACAATCAGATGATCAAATTGTCCTTGTCTATAAGTACCTGACACAGAATGATGATGAACCTGTTCTGGTCTGTAGGAACCTGATACAGACAGATAATAAAGCAGTCCTGGTCTTTAAGGTTTTGATACAGACAGATGATGAATCTGTCCTGGTCTGTAGGAACCGGATACAGACAGAAGATCAACACTTCCTGATCCACAGGGACCTTATATTTTGATATAATGATGGACCCAGGAATTTACACAGAATCATTACAACATGACAAAGTCGATATTATAAAATTTCCTGTTACACACTGAAGATCAAATTAGGTTAATTTATACCCTATAATATATAGAGTAGATAATTGGCCAGTTAAAGTGATACCAGTTCTTATCTATAAATACTAGGAATGTTCACGATAAATCTTACGAAAGCAACAGAGGTACAGGTGTTAAAATGTTAATAGAAGTTTTGGTAAGTATCTACTCTCTACACTGCACGAAATGTTTGGATTGATTTATAGATTGATTGTTTGATTTATTGACGAAGTTTTTAGGTTTGTTCTTGACAGGTTGTTATAAATCAGTAGTTGTATCATAATGACTATAAATGTATTTGTCCCTATATAACTCGATAACGGGATATCTTACACGTATATCCCGTATATTGTAAAAGGTGTATCGCATGGAAGATAGCAATGACTTTAACAAAACAGAAACCACGTGACTGCTGTTCTCGTGACAGCCGGTTCTCGTGACTATACGTTATAATTATCCTCACACATTTGCGTATTGTGAGTGTGCCGGGGTACTCATGTGGTCATGTATCACTTCCCGTATCGTAACAATTACTTCTAAATACACCAGAAAGTGCAGAAGTAGATTTCTAATTGGACGTATGCGTTACTGACAAACCATCAAGTGATATTTTATTTCCTTAGATCGCTCGATATTCGACCACTCTCTAGGCCGACAGGGCCCCGGAGTATATTCAGCTGATCACAAGTGACCACGATGTCTTCATACTGGCAGCACGGACTGATGGGATGTATGGATAACTGCACACTTTGTCTTATCACCTATATTATGCCGTGTTATACATTCGGGAAGAACGCCGAAGCTGTAGGGGAAAGCTGCTGTATTTGTGGTAAGGATAAGTTACATGGACAAGTTTATCAATCTATAACTCATAAACCATGACATATTAATTATTTATATAGGTACTACTCCGGGATCTTTGTCATGTCTAAAAACGAAAGCGAAAGTATGGTTTTATTAAGGGATAGATACATATCAGAATGAATACAGATACACACACGTGCCACTGTGTTAACTTTTAGACATCAGGCCGTGTTCGTTTCTCAATGCATCGCAAGAACCAATCAATTTGTCATTGAACGACACATACAATCACACATCTTTAGTTATAACATGCAATTGGCTTGTTTATTGGATTTAAACTTGGAACACGGAAGTTTAATCACTGATACCACTGGGTTTTGCCAGTATTTTATCATTTCGATCCTGGTTTTATGTAAAGCAGTAAAAAACGAGGAAATAACATAAAAAACGTTTTTATTAGCTGAATGTTTTAAAACGTTTATCCAAAAATTCTGTTTTCTGACGTGTGCAGTCGACTAGGTTTCCAGCCATGGTATAAAAATGTATGCAGTGTCATTTGTCCGCTGGATTTAGGTCCGAAAAAGTGAATTTTATCAATCACTAATCTAAGTGTCATTCGAATAACAGCATCCGTACTCAAATTTTTGATGTGTCGGATTTAAAAATTTGTGCATTTTGCGTAGTATGCATAGACAAATTAATATTCAACTTCCGGTTGCGGAGAATCGATTCCATTACAATGATATGTATGATACAATGTATATTTATCATAAATCCATTTTCAACTAATTTAATTGTGTATTTCACAGTGTAGGTAACTGTCAAACTGATATTACATCTACATGGACCGGTAGTAATATAAAGTGACAAGCCCCTGTGTGTGTATTTTATTACTAGTTTTAGTATCTTGTGACGTCATGGTTTACTACTCTTGCCAATATATGCCCATTGATAATAGAATCATTGCTGTTGTCAGTAATATTCCTAAACTTAATGAGATATTAACATTGTGAACTTTAATACACAAAATTATCACATGGATAAAGGTATACAGATGACGGCTGATGTAAAATGGAGACGTTGAAATATGATACATCACATTAATCAAGGTACATACATATCGAGAGTTTACTTATGTTGGGAAAAGGATGTTGAATTGATTTCGTCAAGGAAAAGCGGGGGAGCCGTGGTTGAAATGCCTTTAATTATTATTCATCATTGATTTATCAAGAGAACATTGTTGTAGTACACTTAGAGACGCCGACAAAATAAATAAATCGGCAACATTGCAACATCTGGGTATACAGTGTTAAACACGTGGATAAGTACATGTATCTGTCCACAACACACAAGTGTGACATATGTTACCACGTCCTGTACACACTTCTATTATCAAGGGTTATCGATAAATAGGACCTTATTTTATATCAAGCAAACACTCCTCACAAGATAAAACACTAAAAAATTGATTTTACATGTACTTAAACACGCGCTACTCATAATAATTCAAATATCACGATGATATTTAAATATCGAATCTACTGTCATAAAATGGAATTATTCATTAATCTTATCTATTTATTTATTCATCTGTTCTTTTTGTGATTTTGTGAATAATGTTATATGATGACGTTTGTTGATAAATTTCCATAGGATATCATTCAGTTTTATGTCTTTATTACACTTAGTGAAAGATGGCAATTGAATTCGACGAATAAAATTAAATGGTATATTTTTTCTTCTTTTATTCTTCAGTTAATCTTCTCATCGCTAATGTATTCAATAGTTTCGCTATTTCTCTTTTTTATTTAAAATTTTTTTTTTATTGTTTTATTTCTCCCATTTATTTGTAGCAATGACCTACCTTTTTCCTGTCATTCATTTGGTGGCGGCTGTCAACATCCGAGGAAAAATTCGGGCAGAGAAAAACATTGACGGGACGTTATGTAACGACGTAATTGTTGCCCTGTTTTGCCCTTTTTGTGCACTGGTTCAAGAGGCCAATGAGATTCGAGGAGCTCCGATGAGCTCGTATGGAATGGCGCGAGAATAAAGACGAACACCATCTTTAACTTACTGTCAATATGTTGGCTAGAATGGTTGTTTACTGGAGATCCACTTTTACTTATTGTTGACATTGTCTTGACAACGAGATAAACAACAACCGCCTTATGTTGTCAAAGCTTTAGAAATAGTCTACAGTAGACTTGAACGTAAATCTTACTTCGTTAACGATGCAATCACTATCATCTCTGCATTACGCATGGTTTGAGCTTTAAGTTTGTAGAAATAAAAAGAGACACGAAGGATATATTCATATTTTCGGGTATATTCATATTTGATAAAATTTAAAACATCTATTAATTTTCTCTGTATGTGACCTGAACAAGGCTTTTTAAAGTCTTATTGGGAAAAGCTATGACTTACCATTATGATAATGCGAGGGCATAAAATATCTAAATATAATGCTTGTTGTTGTATTCAAATAATAATTATATTTTATTAATAAAAAAAACCGTGGGATGGATTGCTTCATCTTTTATTTCATTTAATTTTTTTACCTAAACAAAATTCCACAACAAATTGCAAAATACTGTAAATAAATTTAATCAAAAATTATGATTTCATAACCAAACAGTAACACAGACCGCAAAGTAACCACGCGAATACTGAAATTTGATATTGATGGTATGAGAAGTACAGAGAGAAATAAACAGGTCCGCGTTATTGTGACGGGGCTGGAGATTTATCAAAGTTTGGTATTTTCAATATTCTTGATGAATACTGATATTTTACTAAGCAAGAAACAAATATAAAATATACTAACGGAAAAAAGAAACTGTGCACCGGAGAAACGTTTATAAAATCTATAATTCTTATAATATTTGGTTAAAGGTTTGCATGTTGCTTTATTGATTTCATTACAACAAAATCAATATGGATTTTCAAATTGATTTGAGTAACAATTCATTTCACAGGGGTTCAAATCCTTATGGGGTCAAAACCGAGTTCTCAATGTCAATATCGAGTGTGTCCACCGTTTGCGTCAATGCAAGCTTGGCAACGACGTCTCATGGAGCGAACTAATGTGCCGAAGAAGTGCTGGGGAATAATTGTTCCACACTCTGATCAAGTCTTGGCCGAGTTGATTTAACGTCATTGGCTGATTAGGCAGAGACGGCTGGCCATGGAAGAACATTGATGTTCTGTCGGTTTAAGTAGTCGGTAACAACACGAGCAACATGCGGACGGGCATTGTCTTGCTGTAACGTCACTTGACGTTGTTGGGCACGTATGAAGGGCACAACATGTTGTCGAATGATAGCATCTCTGTATTGAATCCCGGTCAAATTACCTTCGACTAACACAAGAGGAATTCTGCGATGGGTAGTGATCCCTCCCCAAACCATAACACTGCCACCACCAAAAGAACGTCGTTCTACGACACAGGCATCTTGGAAGCGTTCTCCAACATGGCGATACACTCTGTTACGGCCGTCACTGCTGTCTAAGTGAAATTTCGACTCGTCCGTGAATAAAATACCCGTCCATTCACGTTGGGTGTATCGGATATGCCTACGGCACCACGCTAATCTTGCTTGGCGATGACGTTGCTGCAATACAGGACGTATGGCGGGGCGTCGCGGCCGGATTCCGTGTTCTCTCCTCTCAATCGGTTACGGAGGTTCTTGGGTGGATATTTCTTAGTCCAGGAATGTTCCTAGACGTTAAACTGGCCGTTTGGAAACGATTCCTTAGATGCGTTAACCGTATGTAATTGTCCTGTTGATGTGACGTCACACGCGGACGTCCTGAACGCGGTCTATCCCGAGTGATTCCATATTGCCGATAACGTCTTGCTAAAGACTGTATGGTATTCCTATGGACATTGAAACGCTGTGCGATGTCATTTTGGGTCATTCCTGCCTCAAGCATGCCGATTATCCGCAAACGCTCATTTTCCGTCAACCGTGGCATTATCAGAAATCGCTTTTTCTTGAAACTAGGATGTTTTTTGGTTCATATGGTACCCACATAGGGATATTGACACAAAAATAACAATAGGTATTCACTGACACGTGTACTGCCTTCCAATTAGGTGTTGATCATATTGCACGTGCGGTAGGTGACCTAATCACGTGATAGCGTGTGGTATGACACGATAAATATGCCCATGAAATTTTATTGAGAAACGTTCGGCAGTTTCCGAGATAATTAAATTTTAGTGATGCACAGTTTCTTTTTTTCCGTTAGTATATACTATATACAGAATTCATACTCTTTCTTACGCGATAATTTCCGACTTCACTAAAACATCAGGAGTTACTTCGCTTACATCAATAAGTTTTCTGACACGATACGTAATACACGGTACAAAGTATGGGACTAGTCCACGTCCCCTTCTAGATTTTGACTATTCATTCGATCACTTAGTCTCCTAGACTTCAAAATTTATGCCCTATGACCACTGACAAGTCCTAGAAGGACGAAACAGCTGTATGATGTAACATCACTGACAACTCCTAGACGGACGAAACAGCTGTATGATGTAGCATCCCTGACGAGTCATAGAAAGACGAAAAAGCTGTATGATGTAACATCACTGACGAGTCCTAGAAGGACGATACAGCTGTATGATGTAACATCACTGACGAGTTCTAGAAGGACGAAACAGCTGTATGATGTAGCATCACTGACGAGTCCTAGAAGGACGAAACAGCTGTATGATGTAACATCACTGACGAGTCCTAGAAGGACGAAACAGCTGTATGATGTAGCATCACTGACGAGTCCTAGAAGGACGAAACAGCTGTATGATGTAGTATTAATAACGCGTCCTAGTTGGACGAAACAGCTGTATGATGTAGCATCACTGACGAGTCCTAGAAGGACGAAACAGCTGTATGATGTAGCATCACTGACGAGTCCTAGAAGGACGAAACAGCTGATATGATGTACGAAACATCACTGACGAGTCCTAGAAGGACGAAACAGCTGTATGATGTAGCATCACTGACGAGTCCTAGAAGGACGAAACAGCTGTATGATATAGCATCATGACGAGTCCTAGAAGGACGAAACAGCTGTATGATATAGCATCATGACGAGTCCTAGAAGGACGAAACAGCTGTATGATGTAACATCACTGACGAGTCCTAGAAGGACGAAACAGCTGTATGATGTAGCATCACTGACGAGTCGTAGAAGGACGAAACAGCTGTATGATGTACATCATGACGAGTCCTAGAAGGACGAAACAGCTGTATGATGTAACATCACTGACGAGTCCTAGAAGGACGAAACAGCTGTATGATGTAGCATCACTGACGAGTCCTAGAAGGACGAAACAGCTGTATGATGTAACATCACTGACGAGTCCTAGAAGGACGAAACAGCTGTATGATGTAGCATCACTGACGAGTCCTAGAAGGACGAAACAGCTGTATGATGTACATCACTGACTAGAAGGACGAAACAGCTGTATGATGTAACATCACTGACGAGTCCTAGAAGGACGAAACAGCTGTATGATGTAGCATCACTGACGAGTCCTAGAAGGACGAAACAGCTGTATGATGTAGCATCACTGACGAGTCCTAGAAGGACGAAACAGCTGTATGATGTAACATCACTGACGAGTCCTAGAAGGACGAAACAGCTGTATGATGTAGCATCACTGACGAGTCCTAGAAGGACGAAACAGCTGTATGATGTAACATCACTGACGAGTCCTAGAAGGACGAAACAGCTGTATGATGTAACATCACTGACGAGTCCTAGAAGGACGAAACAGCTGTATGATGTAACATCACTGACGAGTCCTAGAAGGACGAAACAGCTGTATGATGTAGCATCACTGACGAGTCCTAGAAGGACGAAACAGCTGTATGATGTAACATCACTGACGAGTCCTAGAAGGACGAAACAGCTGTATGATGTAACATCACTGACGAGTTCTAGAAGGACGAAACAGTGGTATGATGTTAACATCACTGACGAGTCCTAGAAGGACGAAACAGTGGTATGATGTAACATCACTGACGAGTCCTAGAAGGACGAAACAGCTGTATGATGTAGCATCACTGACGAGTCCTAGAAGGACGAAACAGCTGTATGATGTACATCACTGACGAGTCCTAGAAGGACGAAACAGCTGTATGATGTAGCATCACTGACGAGTCCTAGAAGGACGAAACAGCTGTATGATGTAGCATCATGACGAGTCCTAGAAGGACGAAACAGCTGTATGATGTAGCATCACTGACGAGTCCTAGAAGGACGAAACAGCTGTATGATGTAGGACATCACTGACGAGTCCTAGAAGGACGAAACAGCTGTATGATGTAACATCACTGACGAGTCCTAGAAGGACGAAACAGCTGTATGATGTAGCATCACTGACGAGTCCTAGAAGGACGAAACAGCTGTATGATGTAGCATCACTGACGAGTCCTAGAAGGACGATACAGCTGTATGATGTAACATCACTGACGAGTCCTAGAAGGACGAAACAGCTGTATGATATAGCATCATGACGAGTCCTTGAAGGACGATACAGCTGTATGATGTAGCATCACTGACGAGTCCTAGAAGGACGATACAACTGTATGATGTAACATCACTGACGAGTTCTAGAAGGACGAAAAAGCTGTATGATGTAACATCACTGACGAGTCCTAGAAGGACGATACAGCTGTATGATGTAACATCACTGACGAGTTCTAGAAGGACGAAACAGCTGAATGATGTAACATCACTGACGAATCCTAGAAGGACGAAACAGCTGTATGATGTAGCATCACTGACGAGTCCTAGAAGGACGAAACAGCTGTATGATGTAGCATCACTGACGAGTCCTAGAAGGACGAAACAGCTGTATGATGTAGCATCATGACGAGTCCTAGAAGGACGAAACAGCTGTATGATGTAGCATCACTGACGAGTCCTAGAAGGAGGAAACAGCTGTATGATGTAACATCACTGACGAGTCCTAGAAGGACGAAACAGCTGTATGATGTAACATCACTGACGAGTCCTAGAAGGACGAAACAGCTGTATGATGTAACATCACTGACGAGTCCTAGAAGGACGAAACAGCTGTATGATGTAACATCACTGACGAGTCCTAGAAGGACGAAACAGCTGTATGATGTAACATCACTGACGAGTCCTAGAAGGACGAAACAGCTGTATGATGTAGCATCACTGACGAGTCCTAGAAGGACGAAACAGCTGTATGATGTAGCATCACTGACGAGTCCTAGAAGGACGAAACAGCTGTATGATGTAACATCACTGACGAGTCCTAGAAGGACGAAACAGCTGTATGATGTAGCATCACTGACGAGTCCTAGAAGGACGAAACAGCTGTATGATGTAACATCACTGACGAGTCCTAGAAGGACGAAACAGCTGTATGATGTAGCATCACTGACGAGTCCTAGAAGGACGAAACAGCTGTATGATGTAACATCACTGACGAGTCCTAGAAGGACGAAACAGCTGTATGATGTAACATCACTGACGAGTCCTAG